TTCATTTTCTTATCTCGTCTCTTTTTCCTCTCATGAAGAATGCACATCACTGCGAACCAGATGGTGTGCGGATCCCACAAACGCAGACTCAGACAAACTACAAAACAAAAATATTTATAGAAAAAAAAAGTACCGACAAAGTTTAAACAGAAACTGCTGGTGATAAAGCGCCAGGAAAACCAAATATACCAGACATGTCCAAATATCCGGCCCGGGTGCCAAATGCGGCCCGTGGTCGAATTTCATCCGGCCCTCGGCCTCGGTCATAAAATCAGTGGCGTCTGGCCCGCAGGTTGTGCGCAATGCGCACACGCAGGTTTCAGAGCGAACACACTAAATGCTATTACTCATATAGTCACTAGAGGGCAGCAGCACTATACGAGACATCACTCCGTGTGACACTTTTCCCCTCAGTTTTCTAAAATGGCGACAATCGACAAAAAAAGGAAAGTTGACTGTGAGGGACGACACTTCAAGGATGGATGGAAATTCAACTATTTATTCACTGGAATACGCAACCAGGGGTGTAGTGGGCGTGGTACGCGGGGGTACGCCGTCCACCCACTTCTCCCGACGCCACATTCAATTTTTATTTAAATGTTTGTTGATCATTGTTCTAATGTGAGTTATGCTTACTAACGTTGGCCTGTGATTATTTTGGAGTCGTAAAACATTAAATTTAACATTAGTTCAACTGGTGTTGTAGCCTATGATTGATGTTCTGGGATGTATATATAGAACATCCCAGAATCGCGTACACCCACTTAAAAAATCCCCACTACACTACAACAAAGGTGTCTGCCTCATTTGCCAAGAGACAGTGGCTGTTTTTAAAGAGTATAATGTCAAGCGACATTATCAAACAAGACACGGTGACATGTACGACATGATTACAGGGAAGGAACGAAATGAGAAATTGAAGCAGCTTGAAGCTAGTTTAATCTCACACCAGCCGTATTTTGCCAGAGCCCGAGTCAAATGAGAATGCCACAGTGGCAAGTTACGAGGTAGCAGCGCAGCGCTGATCGCAAAGCATTCTAGACCTTTCAACGTAGGTGAATTTATCAAAGACTGCATGATGATGATTAGGGATGGGACAATGATACCTCAAGGAGTGTATTGACCCACTTCACAAACTGTGTCAGCACTGTATTGACACTGTGTTGGTCACCCAATAGTGCCCCCTGCAGTAGTTATAAAATCATTGCAGATAAAGAAATTCCTTGTTTGTGTAAATGCTAAACTGAGTTGGTATGTAAAATATAGCAAAGTTGAGTTACAAATCAGATTTTTAACTTATGTAGAATTTTTTTTTATTAAATCACGTGAGATAAAAGACAAACGTGATTAGTTTATGAATTTTTATTGAGGAACAAAAGTTTTTGGACTGTCTATGCTCCAAGGCGATTTCTCCTCTTAGACACCAGCGCCCCAGGCTCAGAAAATACTTTCACATGGTTTAGATCAGTGTTTTTCAAACTTTTTTGAGCCATGGCACAGTTCTTTCATTGAAAAAAATCTCGCGACACACCACTAGCTGAAAATGTGACCCCCCTTCGTAAGGGCCCCCCCCTCCCCCGCGCTTATTTTACCAATTAACGTGTTATATTGTTACTATAACTGTTTTTAACATTGAAGAATGACGTTATAACAGCTTGAATTGGAATCAAATGAACACAAAGAAAACAGTATTTTATCATCTTTCATATTTACTGTTTCACCGTCGTCCTGCATTCATGCATCACAAATTCGCTTGTCTCTCGTCGAAACACAAGACAATTGGCTAGCTGTTGCTGCTCCCTAGCGGTATGGGAGGGGACTACATGATTACTTTCTGGGCGAAAGACCGCACAGGCATCTAAATTGGATATTTTCCGTGGCACACCTGACAATGTCTCGCGGCACACCAGTGCGCGGCACACGGGTTGAAAAACACTGGTTTAGATGACGATAGTGAGCAGAGAGTTTTAAATGAAAGTTGATGCAGATGTGGATATGTTTTCTGGTTCCATTTCCAATATTGTAAAGGGTCTTGGTTTCTGGGTGTGTTTGCTTCTGACAGGCAGCGTTGGACTTCAGTTATGGAGGATCTCGCAATTATAAGATAAAATGAATAAAGCAACTGTAAGGCTCATTAACTGACTATCATATGTATAACAGCTCATTCACTTGATAAACTGATAAAGTGGATGCAATGCGCCACCATAAAAAAAATTGTATATAACAGTAAACAATGCTCAAAGGAGAAAAAGATTTACCAAGATCAAAATTATTCCACACTGGGGAAAACTTATCCATAATTTCGCAAACCTCCAGCCAACAAACCCACGACATGTTAATACAATTTGTGTCCTTATAAACACACTTTGGCGCAGCACATTCAAACGATTCAGGAGAAGCCAAGATGGCGACATGAGCGGTTGTGCTTTTGGGAGCTGCTTACCTGACTCGATATAAAGTTAGTGGAACACAGATAACTCTTCTATTTTTTTCATGTCAGAAAATTTATATATTTTTTTTTCCTCTTGACTTTGCTGCACTCACGGTAGCTTGTCCTTCATATAAAGTTAGTGGAACACAGATAACTCTTCTATTTTTTTCATGTCAGAAAATTTATATATTTTTTTTTCCTCTTGACTTTGCTGCACTCACGGTAGCTTGTCCTTCGCGCAGTCCTAGTTCTCTTTCTTGGACGTTGCCTCGACTCGTGCTAAGCTAGCAGCATTATCGGCAGCATTGACAAAATGGAGCTGAAGTCCGCACCTGAGAATGTGCTCGTGGATGGTGCGCACGCCTACTGCCTGCAAAACCAACCTGTCCTCGCGGTTGTGGAAACTGACTTTCCCGCATTGCCCGTCTCGCCGTCCAAGCCACCGGCGTCGAAGAAAAGTAAGCAATCTGGCACGACCGAAGGAGAGAGCGCGACCATATTGCAACAATTATCAACGCTGTTTAACACCAGATTTGATACGATGAAGACAGATATCAGTAAAATGACGAAGGACATGACAACGAAAATAGAAAACCTCACGAAAACATTGAATATTGCCTGCGCCGAATTAAGAGATGTAAAAGCAAGTCTAAAACAG